ACTTGTTTAACTTTGAAGCTAGTGGTGAAGAAACAGAAGAAGAAGGGTTTGTAGAGGCAGTTGAAGATGCTGGGGAGAGTGATGAGGTTGAAGCAGAAGAGGAGGAGGAGGAGTTTCAAGAACCACCTGAAGATGCTAAGTTGTTTGTTGGGAATTTACCTTATGATGTAGACAGTGAAGGGCTGGCTCGGCTTTTTGAGCAGGCTGGTGTTGTTGAGATTGCTGAGGTAACTATTGAGACAATTTCACTGAAAAGTTTGAATTTTATTTATTTATTTCAGAGGTTCTTGTTCCATATGTTGGAAAAACAAAGGGGAAATTGACAGTAGGAGAAAATTATTTATTTTATGAGGAGATACATGTAGAGCTTGAGTCGTGTAGACACTGTCTTAAGAAACTATTCCAACATTCTAAGAGTTTCCTCAGCATTAAAAATTTAAGCAAGCAAACCAGCAAGTCAATATTGAGCTGATGTTTTGTTTTTACAGGTTATTTACAATAGGGACACTGATCAAAGTCGTGGATTTGGGTTTGTGACAATGAGTACGGTGGAAGAAGCTGAGAAAGCTGTGGAAATGTACAATCGTTATGTGAGTTTACGTTATCCCTTTTTTGTACCAAATCTTTGTGTGAGAAGCTTATTCTTGCATGCCGCATGCTAATGTGTTTATTTGGGAAAATAATATGGAGAAAGAAGAATTATACAGAGATAACAGTTAGATGGGATTTGAATATGATGTTTACTGTTTTGTATGGCTTTGAGCTGTTTCTTGTGAAGAGACCTGTATAACAATTCAGTCATTTCGTGGTTACAATAGATGAAACATAAAAACATGGGACGCAAGTCCATTGCTTATTTAATGGTCCTCATGGAAAGAAAGAAATGTGAGGGGTGGTGAATTTAGGAGCTTATTGCTTGCATGATTTGTTCTTCCGGTGTATGCGATAAAATGTGAAGGATTTATACATTCGTGTGTATCTATATATTGCTTAATTAAAAATTTGAATAGATTCTCGTGAAAATTCGATATATGAAGCACAAATACTTTGATATGTTTCCAGACTACTTCAGTATCTTTTTGATTTTTCATTTTTTGCTATGAGTAGGATGTCAATGGAAGACTCTTGACAGTCAACAAAGCTGCTCGTAGAGGAGAGCGACCTGAGCGTCCGCCTCGGACATTTGAACAGTCTTACAGGATCTACGTCGGCAATATCCCATGGGGCATTGATGATGCACGCCTTGAGCAACTGTTCAGTGAACATGGTAAA